GGGGGGGGGGGGGGGGGTGAGGAGATGGAGCAAAGTCCTAAGTGGCTTGCAAGCAGGCCAGCAGGCAGGTAAGTGGCTGCTGCCAGCTGGGAGAGGGAGTGAGGGGGTGCGTGGGTGGCTGGGGAGGTACACTGCGACTGCAGCGTGGCTACTGCCGGGTGGGGGAGGTTATGCAAGTGGTCGGGGAGGCTGCGTGAGTGGTTGGGGAGGCACGGCATAAGCACCGCAAGGCTCAGGGAAGGTGCGCAAGTGGGGGAGACTTACCCAAGCAACTTGTGACCTTTCCTGCTGGCTTCCCTATTGACTTTGCTTATGGGAAGCTGTCAGGGAAAGTTGCAAATCGTGATTACGTGACCATGGAATGCTGCAACCATCATAAGTGCAAGCTGGTTACCAAGCGCCAGATTGTGGTCACATGACTGCGGAAATGCTGGGACAGCTACAAGTTCAAGGACTGGTCATAGCCACCACTCATTCAGTGCCATTGTAACTTCAGTCACTGAATGTGTGGTTGTTGACCTGTAACATCTTTCTCCTTGCCAGTAGATACATACAGCCTAGTACGTTCTGCTTCTCATCTTAAGTATATTCAGTTTTCAATCATTTTAAACAGTTCAGGTTTTCTAAAGCAAGTAATGCTATGTCTCATCAAATTAAGATACTTTTGATTCTCTGTAGGATGGCTGGTTGTGGTGAACTTGATCACTCAATCAATATGCTTCCAACAAACAAGAAGACAAATGAATCATGTTCAAATGCAGCACCATCTCTTATGGTTCCTGAATGTGCTATCTGCCTGCAAACATGTGTCCACCCCGTGAGTCTGCCCTGTAAACACGTCTTCTGCTATCTGTGTGTAAAAGGAGCTTCCTGGTTGGGAAAGCGGTGTGCGCTCTGCCGGCAGGAGATTCCAGAGGACTTTCTTGATAAGCCAACTTTGCTGTCACCTGAGGAACTCAAAGCAGCCAGTAGAGGCAATGGGGAATATGCTTGGTACTATGAAGGCAGAAATGGCTGGTGGCAATATGATGAACGTACCAGTAGGGAGTTGGAAGATGCATTTTCTAAAGGTAAAAAGAGCACTGAAATGTTAATTGCTGGTTTCTTATATGTGGCAGATCTTGAGAACATGGTTCAGTATAGGAGAAATGAGCATGGACGTCGCAGGAAAATAAAACGGGACATAATAGATATTCCAAAGAAGGGGGTGGCTGGGCTTAGGTTGGACTGTGACTCTAATGCTATCAATCTAGCAAGAGAGAGCTCTGCAGATGGTGCAGACAGTATACCACCACTAGGTGCTGCTGCTGGGCAGCCTGTAGCAACTGTTAGACCCCTTCCTATACTAGATGGTCAGCGGACAAGTCCTGCAACGCCATCACCTGATGAAAGTACTCTAGAGAACTCTTTTGCCAGCTTGCAAATAAATGGAGACAGTTTGGTGGAAAGGAGCCATAGGGGTGAGGGAGAGGAAGACCATGAATCACCATCTTCTGGTAGGGTGCGAGTTATTGACACCTCCATAGAGGAAACAGAATCGGATGCTAGCAGTGATAGTGAGGATTTGTCTGCCCAATTTCAGCTGCCTGTACCCTCTGCACAGCAGAGACATCTGAATGGAAATCAGCCAGCCTTGGATAGACCAATGGCAGGTAGTGGGGTGGGAAATACCACTGTGAGATCTAGAAGGCCTGATGGACAGTGCACAATAACAGAAGTCTAAATCTAGAGCCATGGTTTTAAAACTCAGTCTTATACCTGTACATTTTGTCTGTATTGGCATTGCGCTCCAGCCTAGCAGTCTATTTGAAAGTGTTTCAGCATGAGAAGAAGGGGAAGAAAAAACCTGATCATCTAACATTAAAAGCTGTCTGTTATTATGTCTGGAACACTGAACATTTAAAAACCTGGGCATGTGTTAATGGTTTGGAAGCTGTTTAGCAACAGTTTTGTAAAATGTCTCCCTTTATTTTGTAGTATATGCCCCTCTCCATATTAAAACCCATCCTCTTTTTTGGACAAATGTATATTCACTGTACAACTTGGAACTGTTATTATTTGTTGCATTAAGTATCTTTACTATCTGCATGGATTGATGTATGGAAGGAATATTAAAAACTGGAAATGACCAAGAGTTTGGATATGTGCAAGATGCTTAATTTTAACATAAAATAGTTGTGACTCCTGAAATTCAGATGTTTTACTAAAGCTGAGATGAATCATCCTGAATGAAATGTAAAATAATTTCTGTTGCAGAGTTTTACTTGTAAAGAAGTCATGGTGTCTTCATTGGCTGTCTAGTCCCTGTAGCTTGTTTGCGTCTTTCTTGTGTCTTGTTTTTGTTACAAAATTAATAATTTAATAAACTACATTTTATCAACAATCTTAATTGAACCCATGTCACACTGAAGGCACATCAGTATATGCACTGCCTTTGGTTAGCAGAAGAACTAAGTGCACTGCAGAACAAAAAAACCCCCCTGCATTTTGCTTCCAAGATGACTAGAATAAATATTGAGCAGGAAAATAAAGATGCTTGCACATTAAGCTCCTACGGAAAGAAGCCTACAATATTTGAAGAAAGATAATGATAGAAAAGGGATATAACATTTATTTGCTTCTCCTAGCTTCTATGCGAGAGAATGGTAGAAACCATCAGAAAATCATTTTTACATTGAAATTATCAGAATTTGGTTTTTCAGTCATGTTATTTAAATTATATTTTGTCGGGAATGGTTTTACATGCATTCTGCAGTACTTTTGCAGCATAACTAAATTATCTTTTTTCTTAGGTAATGCAGCTGAGAAGTCCTAGGATGCTATGGGCCATCTGACTATAGCTTAATCTCAAAGTAGTGGTAGTTGCTTTACTAGTGAAATATATTGCAGTATATATAAAAATACGTACTTTGTATTGAGAACCCATCAAATGTAGGTTGAACACAACCAGCTCTAATAGCTGAAAATAAAATAATACGGTATTTGAACTGCCATTCTTTATTCTAGGCACTATGTATGCTGCTTCCATGGTAAAAATCTGCTTTAAGATGGCAATTAATCTGGTAAATGTATTTATTTAGTTCAGGAATCAAATTTCCAATACATGTAGATGAAAGCAGGAAGAATTTAAAATTATTCAGACAATTAATAGAATAAATCCATATCAGAATAAGAGTCCCAGAGTTATACCCATAACCACTTTATAGCAATAACAATAAACCAGAATTTAGTGACTATTCTGGAGATTTCTATAGGCAGGTCAGCTATCAGAAAATATGGATTTTCCTCACCCAACCTGCCTGAACAGTTAATTAGCAAGGGGATTATTAGGCCTGAATGCCAGTCTTTTTTTTTTTTTAAGGGTGCAATAAAACATGCAGTGGCTTAATCATCAATTAATCATTACATCTAATAAGTCTCTTGTATGTAGAATGGACAAGATATTCATTAAACAGTTGGCTAGTGCAAAACATCATCTACTTTAGCCTCTGCAGCAGTGAGGTGTATTCCAGCCATCCTAGACATCAGGCTCAGAGATGCAATGTTCTTTGTTTAGATCAGCACATTTTAACCCTCATGAGGTGGAAACATTGGGCTGAGAGACACCAGTATCCTAAATCTGAGTCTGTACCTTCCTCCTTTTGTATCTTCTTCCAGGAAAATGCAAAATTATCCATGACGATCAAGGAGGCCAAAGTTCTCACATAAAGATCTGTTTTAACCATACATTAAGCAACAGAGTCTCATGCACACATTATGAAAATTAGTCTGGATTCCAGGCATGGGAGAGCATTTGATACACACCAAGCAACATGAATCGTAGCTCTTAAAACATTTAGACTGAACTGCTTCTAAACATCTTAGAGCTTTGTAGATAGAAAGTTATATGCAATAGAGCAAGATACTCAACATTTTAGTTTTTAAAAAATTAAGGCAGCAGATACATAATTATTGCCTCTGTCATTAGCAAATCTGGTTTATATCAAATTGTACCATTCCTGCTCTACCTGCCAATAACCAGGGAACATGGTCAATGGGCTTATTTAAATTATTTATTTCTGCCCATAGATCTCCTTTACAGAATTGAACAAAACATTTATAGGTACCGAACAATTACATAATTCATATTACTGTGCTTTTTTTTGCTCAGGTTCACAAAATTAAATTTTAATTAATCCCATATACATCATTTGAAATAATTTCATAAGAGATAGGCTAGAGACATAATAGATTCCAATTAAAAGTACAGACATCCCAATCATGTATTTAGATGAAGAAAATGCCTGACTCATGAACAAGAATTATTAAATGTGCTTAACTGATTTTAAAAATTCTCCCCATATCTCATTTTCTGCTAGTAAATGGTACCCTGTAGGTATGCAATTAAAAAATACATACACAAATCTGCTTACAAGATAGCACCAGGCCTTCATTTCAACAGATTCACCAAGGCTACTGCAATAAACACAAGTCTGCAGATTTGAAGAAACCATCTTTCCCAGCTGTAGATGTTTCCAAATTGCTCTAATATCCTCAACTATATGTTCAACTTTAATTAGAATGGTGGATGATGGGACTTAGTCCCTTTCTTCCCAGCCAGAAGGAAGGTTAGATTTTTGGTCTGGTATTACACCTTGTTGAAGCGCTGAACTAAGAGTAGTGAAAATTCCTCTTGTGCTTCTAGAAGCCTTGCCACTTCATGTTTCTGTCTGCAGCTGGGAAGAGCATCTACTCTCTCTGATCTCAAGAAAATATAGAAATGAGATACTTATTAAAAGCAAGCTCAGCACTGAACTCCTTTTCTTCAGCAAAAGCAGTTACTGTAGGTTAGCAGAGGTTTGTTAAGGCAATCTAGATTGATGAATTCATCTACTACTTCAAACTTCCTGACATGCAAGGACTATAGAGTGAAGCTTCAACCTTATATAAGTGCAACAGTTTTAGGCAGGTGTGAAAAAATGCTGTAAAGTCAGAATGCTTTCAAAAATATATATTGTAGTTGTTTATGTTTATCAATTTATAAAATGCAAAGTGAGCAAATCTAAATCAAATCAATATTTGGTGTGACTACCCTTTGC